GGATCCCTCAACCTTGCGGGTGTTCAGATGGGCACACAACCCATCGTCCGGGTTGCACTTGAGCCTGAAAATCCATACGATCTGGACAAAATGATCAAAGGATTGAAGCTTCTGGTCCAGAGCGACCCCTGTGCCGAGTACGAACAACTACCGAGCGGTGAGCATGTCATTCTTACAGCAGGCGAACTGCATCTAGAGCGGTGCCTTAAGGACTTAAGAGAACGCTTTGCCAAATGTGAAATCCAAGCTGGTGAGCCTATCGTTCCCTATCGGGAGTCGATCGTTGCGGCCACTGAGATGAACCCCCCAAAGGATTTAACCCTGCCTAGGGGGACTGTCATCGGAAAAACAGCAAGCGAGCACGTATTGGTCCGGTTACGAGTGCGTCCTTTGCCATCGAACGTAACCGAGTTTTTGAGTAAGAATGCTGGAGCCATTAAGAGACTGTACTCAGAGCGAAGAGCGGAAGAGGAAGGACATAAGAGTAGCTCATTAATACCTCGTGACGCTGACGGAACAGAGAACGATGGGATACAAGAGGCCGAACAAAGAGAGATTGGACATTCTCTCGATTTGCCTGAGTTTAAGAAACAGTTGAAGGAGGCGTTTGCGGAGGCGAAAGGCCAGAGGGAGGTCTGGGCAGACGTAATCGAGAAAATCACGGCTTTTGGGCCCCGAAGAATAGGCCCCAACATCTTGGTCGATGCAACAACCGCCGGACTCTGCGGCAAAGCGTAAGTCATAAATGTGTTCCTGCTCTATAATAACTACGCTAACAGTATTCAGGCTTCGCGATTCTTTCTCACCTGAGACAGATAGCGATCTTCCATCCGACCACTCAATAACACCTCATACCTTTGCTTCCACAATAACCTATGCCTTTCAGCTTGCTACCGCCCAAGGACCCTGCTGTGCCGAGCCTGTACAAGGCATCGCCGTTTTTCTCGAAGATGTGACACTCAACATTCCCGATGACGAATCAGCTCAGGATCGTGGCCGTCTGACAGGCGAAGTGATCAAAGCAGTACGCTCGGCTATTCATCAAGGCTTCCTAGATTGGTCTCCGCGCATGCTTTTGGCGATGTATAGTTGCGAGATTCAAGCGAGCACGGATGTCCTTGGTAAGGTGTACGCGGTCATGACAAGGCGTCGGGGAACGATTCTTTCCGAAACCCTCTCCAGCACTTCTTCCGCTTCAACTACAGGAAACCAAACTTTCACCATCTCTGCCCTGCTACCAGTTGCCGAATCTTTCGGCTTCAGTGACGAGATCCGTAAAAGGTCTTCCGGCTCTGCATCCCCTCAACTACGCTTCGCGGGCTTCGAGATGCTGGACGAGGATCCATTTTGGGTACCCTTCACCGAGGATGAGTTGGAAGATTTGGGTGAATTAGCGGATCGAGAAAATGTCGCAAAAAGATATGTAGATAAGGTTAGGCGACGAAAGGGTCTCTTAGTAAGGGAGGTATTGGTCCGGGATGCGGAAAAGCAGAAGACATTAAAGCGTTGAAGAGGCAGGTCCTGCACGGCGACAGGAGATAGATAGAAAGGTGTAGCTTTGTTCCTCTGGCTTAGACTCCAACTTTCAATGTGAATCTCACGAATACGGTTGCCATGTGCGTACCTCCGATATCTCGTACATCTAGATGTTGTTACTTGATGCCATAGATCAAGGTATCAATATTCACGAGTAATAGGCGAGACTTAATCTGACTTCTCTATTCCTTAAAGTTTCTTTGTGACTCTAGTCTCCCAGAGAAGCAAAAATGTGATATTTGACGTGAAGATGAATGGTCTGTTTCTTTTATTTCATATCTAATGTTTTCCACTAAGAGAGAAGATGAGAATGTACGGCGATTTGTAATATTTGTGTTGTCCTCGACATTGTGGAGAACTAGCCAGCTGCCTAAAACTCATCACAGGTCTTCACACTTTCGAATGGTCTGTATTCTTCCACACATTGTGAATAGTCATAGGGAATAGAGATATCACAGAATAGCGGCCTCACCGGACTTGAACGGCCACACAAGTATCACGCTTTGGTTCCATCAACAAAAAAGGGACCGCAGAACACAAAAGCCCTGCGCTCTACAAGTATGTTTAAAGCCGCTTCAAGTGCCACAAATACAGCCAATACGGCCGAATTTTCCAAAAGCGCAATTACAACGTAGGTAAACACTTTGGTCTGCTAGCCGGCCCCACGGTTGACATAAGATCCTTTTTGGGCGTAGAGCAAATCCGGCGTAGTAGAGTTCGGTATGACTACACTTTAGAGGCAGATGAGACTACAGTACCTGGCGTCAGGACATGGTTAAATTACATTATTGCATCTGACTCAAGACTGTGACAAAGATTGTGGATCATGATTTTGGGGTGACTGCGCCGTGACTAGGCGCGCCGCAAGTCTCTCAGGGAGTTTAATCGCTCATAATCATTGAGTCTGCCTTCCCAGTGGGTAAAAAGTATGGATTGATGCCTCATTGACCATGATCACGATCTACTGAGCTTTGATTGAAAATAGTTTGGTTGTTGTTAACATCCTTGTTCGTAATTGTGGATGGCTAGAGCCAGTGCTTTTTGATATTTTTACTGGAACAATTTCAAAGATGATTATCTGATTTGTGGCCCAGAGAACTCGACAGAAGAACCTTTTCTTTCCTTCATTTCTTTTAGAAACTTCCAGGGTTCTCTCACATGCTAGTCACGGCTTCGCCCTCAAATAGAATGAGCAGCGGCATACTGGTGAGGGGCAAGAGCAGTGAATTGACAGGCTAGACACGGCCTGCCCCTTGAGGCGCTTTTTGCAACCCTCTACCCGTCCTGAACTCGGCGCCAGTGACATCACATAACTCTTCCGGTTCGGCCCGCCATGTTTAAAAGCAATTTGCTCGAAGCGGCAGTTGAAGGTTCATGTGTCTTGGCGCCAAGCCACCTTGCAGGGAAGATCTTATCTGATTGATAACACAATCTCCTCATCTAGCGTTCGACCTAAGTCGGTTCGCCTCGATCCTCCAATGGCAACGGTGCAACGACAGCAGAGGGTATCACGTGTATTCGTGTAGACTTCTTGGTGGGTCTCCGCGCGGGAGGTTTGGTCTTGGGTGGAGAATTTGATAGCGCCGATGACGGATGACGAGCTTGTTAGGTGGGTGGAAGGTGGGTTGGTGGACTATATGGGCGGCCATGCCCTCTGCTTCCTTTCTGCTCCATCCCCTTTAGCATCGAGCACATCACTCTTCTCTTTTCTCCATTCACACCCAAGGGAGACGACAAGATGGGTTCCGTACAGCAAGAGATCGCAACGCTCAATAGCCTTGCGGCTCAGATAAGTGAACTCGCTGCGAAGATGACCAAGCAACTCGAAGCAGACAACGTCCCGCCTGTCACTCTCGAAGCAAACAGCCCCATCAAATATGAACGACTTCCTGGAGACGTATTTTTGACACGACAGCTACTCGAGGACTCACTGAAAGATATGTGGATCTTGAGCCAAGGGCCCAGCGAGAGCGTGTACAACTACGTCCATATGGCCATTCCCGATACGTCATGTTTGAATATTTTAAATCAATTTGACTTCTGGAATGCAGTTCCTACAGACGGCGAAGCATCATACGAAGAAATTGCAAAGTATACGAAGCTTCCAGTTGAAGTTGTAAGCAGAGTCTTGGACCATGCCATTACTATGCGTTTCTTTGCCAAGCCTTCACCCATAGCAACCTCTGTAAAGCATACCTCGCGCTCTGCGGCTCTCGCGAAAGATTCCGGGCTCTCGGCATTGGTTCAGATGGTTCTCGATGAAACTGGTCCACCAATGTTTTTGCTCCCAGAAGCATTGCGCCGCTATAGCCAGGGAAAAACTGAGATCACTAAGAATATGAAGGAAACTGCTTTCAAGCTGTGTCATTCAGGTGGCGCGTGGGGCAACTACGAGAATAGTTGGGATTTCATCGAGAATGACGGAGAAGGCGACAAGAAGGGCTGGCGACAGCGGAATTTTGTCAAGTTTATGGCTTACATCAAGGATCTCTTCGGAACCGAAGGGATCGTGTTGGACGCAATAGATTGGGAGGGCGCGGGTAACGTAACAGTTGTTGATGCAAGTCTAGCTTCCCTTCCCATGGTGGCGGTCATACTAACAAATATCAGCTCGGAGGCTCGGCAGGGCACGACGATGCCGTTCTCGCAACAAAGTTCCCAAATCTTAAAATCGTGGTCCAAGATCTCCCAGAAGTTGCTCCTGTCTTCGACAAAGAATTTCCCTCGGATCTCAGGTCTCGTGTTTCTTTCCGCACACACAACCTCTTCGACCCTCAGCCCGTAGAGGCAGACATCTACATGCTGAAATGGATCCTGCATGACTGGCCAGACGCCGAGTCCATTGCCATTCTTCGTGCCCTTGTTCCTGCCCTGAAGCCGGGCGCAAGAGTAGTCTTCATCGATTACGTGGGTAAACAAGGGCCGAGCGAGGAAGAGCTACCGAGGAGCATTCAAGGCTTTGGTACTGCGACGGATCTTAGGATGATGGCCCTGTTCAATGCAAAGGAGAGGCCGGTTGAGGCGTGGAAGAACATCTTTGCACAGGCGGATGAGCGTTATGATGTCGTGAGAGTCAAGGCAGATCCGCTGAGCTTTATGTGTGTCCTAGAGGCTGTTTGGAGAGGATGATATATTCCCATAGAGGATCAATATTCAAGTTCAGGAGGATCTGACCTGAACTTGGCGAGGATCGTTGTGGAGTTGGCCGTGCCGTAGGGAGTCAACACTTGCAAATCGCTTGCAGGCCTGCAAGCCTCCTCCACCTTCAGCTCGCCTCGTGTAGCCCAGCTCATCGCCCCAGCCAGCCACAATATATCCACGATGGCTGATCCCTCTATTCTTCGCATTGATACTCTTTCTCTGAATTACTGTTTATGCAAGCGGGCTTTGAAATATATATTTCAATCTCGCCTGCTCAATCATACAAAAAAATGAACACGCCAAGGGCCTCACGTGAGGCCTCCCTCCCCTTGGTGCAGTTGGTTTAGCACGTTCGACTGTAATAGCATTGTCATCGAAAGGTCCCTCGTTCGATCCGAGGAGGGGAGACGCCAACCGTTCCTTCTTTTTGTTGCACATGTTGCCGCTTATTCATTCACTGAACAAGGCTTTGGCCCCGAAGTCTATAGGATAGGCTTACATAGTCCAGCATCCCCAAAGAAAAGGCTCACCACCTTCAAAATCAAAGGAAAAGCACATCTGTCAACAGCTAGATCACTATCCATCGTTCGCTTATACATAAATTTTACACATTTTTGGCATTACTATGCTTGTTGCATGCATGGGCTCGTCTACCTCTATGTGCGCTGAAATGCGAACTATATTATGCCAACACAAGGTACTATGCCCAAATATACGCTCTTAAACGCCGCTGTGATATGCTACTAGATGCAACATTGCCAATACGATATTCATCATGAAACCCTCCCATGGTGCATTACCAATTTATTTCCTCCGTATCAACTTGCTTAGCCCGCTCTTTTTATTGCTTTCCCTTTCAACCTTGTCTTTTGCATCCTCAGCAGCGCGTTCGTCTTTGGTCGGTATGCGGGGCTGGTCCGCAAAACGGATGCCAGGCGCACGGGGTGGTACTAAGGATTGGCTTGGTTCGCCAGCTCGGGAGTGTGTCCCACGACCAGTCTCCAGAGGGTCGCCAGTTTCTTCGCCATCAGAGTCCGATTCAGGGGTTTCCTCTCCACCAACTCCAAGCGCACCGAGGCGACGCTTACGTTCTGCTGCTGTCTCACCTGCAAATCCTTGGTTGCTCTCTGGTTGCAGCTTGCTACTTGGAGAGATGGGCCGCCGCTGATTCCTGACGGGTGGTGGAGAGGAAGAGCCTTGCAGGGCTGCAAGACGACGTCGACGCTCCGCAGGGGTTTCTGCTTCAGACTCAACTCCGAAATAATCGTTGTGGGATTCCTGTTGGGTTGACGCTGATTGCTCAGATGCCAGACGGCGGCGGCGCTGTGCAGCAGTCTCACTTTTCTGGTCAAGTGAATAACTAGCCAAATCCTGGCGTACCGAATGGAACGGTACATCTTCGTCATTACTGTCAACCAGCGTCAAGCCCTCAGGCCCCCGGGACCTACCCTCTTTCTTTGCGGCTGGTGACTCAATCTTGTGAATTTCAGCTTCGCCCTCCTCGCCAACTACAGGGGGAACGTTGGCTTCTGATGCAGCTTGTCGACGCTGAGCATCTTTGTGGTCTTTTGCGTCCTGGTGTGCCGCAGTCTTAACCGACTCAGGAGCATCGCTATTTTGAACAAACTTAGCGCGATCCTTGGGATTCATTTGTGCCATCTGCTGGATAAATTCCATCTTGCTCATTCTGCGGCCACCAGCGTTGACAGTGAAGCGCAGGCGGTCATCGTCATCGTCATCATTAGCTGATTTCTTTTTCTTGCCGTCTGCAGCTTCTGTGCCAGAAGGATCAGTATCGTCATGTGCTGGAATGCCTATATGTGTCCCCATTCTCTTAAGGCTCTGGATCGCGCGACTCGAAGTTTCTGCCATCGATTGACCCCGCTGAGTTCCAGGACGTTGGTCCTTTTTGGATGAAGAGGGAATATCGTACTTCTTGATGACCTCTCCATCCTCGTCTTCAACAATAATGGTATTGCCGAACTGATATGCTAGAGCTGGTCCACGCTGTCGCGGAGGTTTCTGGGCGGCAGGTTCTGCGACGTTGTCCTCGTGATGATGATGATGTTTACCGGCCGAGAAACTTTGCATCCGCTTTCGCCAAGTCTTTTGAGGATGCTCAATAGCAGTCTCAATCTTCGCAGGTGCTTCTTCCAGCTTTCCTCCATGCTCTTTCTGTGCAACACCATGCTGAACGTCTTCTTTCACTAAAAGCTCCTTCGCCATTTCATTATCTCGAGCTCTTCTCTCTGCATCACGTTCATTGTGACTATCCCTAACCCCGAGCACGTTTCCTTCCTTGTCTTCGAAAATTGTCTTGTCACCTTCTTGGTATATCTCTTCCTCGGGTTGTTGCAGCTTTGCCTTCTCCTTTCCGCTTGAAGAGCTGTCGCTAGAGAGAGCCATAGTGTCGTTAAACGCATCGGTATCTTGGTCTGCTGGTAGAACATCTGCCTTCTCCTCATCGCGCCTAGAAGGTTTAATGGCAGACTGTGAGATTGGACCGCCAGGGCCTCGGCCAGCGTCCCAGCGTTTTCTTCGGTTCGTGGGGCGGACTGAATTGGACCGACTGGCGTTCTCTTCCTCCTTCTGTCGACGCAGGAAGCCGCCAGTTTGACCGGTGGAGGGTAGTAAACCTGGCCCAGTTGTGTCTGCCTTCTCGTCAAAGGATGACTCAGATGGGCGACGACTGGCAGACATTTGGGATCTAGAACGAGACTGAATACGAGGAAGTCGTTCCATCCAGCCAGGTCCATCTTCGTTGGCTTGTGTGTATGACAGCGAGATTTTGAGCGTGTTGATACGCTTGCCGAGAGTGAATACAGCGATCGAACTACCATGCACCATGATACTGACGATGACTAGGAAGCATGTTATAGGCCAAATCATCTCGATGATATTCAGGTGCTCGAATCCCTCCTCTGGAAGTACAGCTAGTGGGGTTGTGGATTCGGTCTCCAGTTCAGCTCTTGCAAGTATCGCCACGAACAAGCCACCGACCCCAATGGGTCCGAAGTGACCGGCGAAAGATGCTTCTCGCCAGGTTTTGATGTCAGGTATAACCGGCTTTAATATCAGCATGATGGGAATGCGACGGAAGAAAAGCACCAGTATACCAAGCACTACCAGGCGCCATGGCGTGAGACCAATAATCTCGGGCGCATTGAACTGGCCCCAAGGGATGATGGCGCCAAAGTAGACGAAAAAAGCCAAGTTGATAAGCAAATCAATAACGTTGGAGACATGAGACTCTTCCGTCTTTTCCAGGAACCAGCCGTCGTTTGAAAAGCCGACTCCACAGGCGAATCCTACGAGCAGATCGTCCAAGCCCAGCAAAGACCCCGAGCCAGCACACCAGAGCGCCAGAACAAAGTAGAAGACCAGGAAGCTTTCTCGGTCAATGAGATCCTTCTCGTGAGCAAGACGGATGGCGCGGCGGGCGGCATAGCCAATGACGACTCCATAGATGGCGCCGAACAGACACTCGTATAGCACTGTGTAGCAGATCCAGTGGTAGGCGACTTTTGTGGCGTCCGGACGATAGCGGATGAGGTAGATGGCGAGGTAGATGAATGGAAAGGCCATGCCGTCGTTGCAGCCAGATTCCGCAGAGAGAAGATCTCGCAAATGTTTGGGGACACGCTTTGCAAACTTGCCCTTTCCTACGACGGACGAGGCCAAGACAGGGTCAGTGGCAGTGACACAAGCGGCAATGCAAAGACTGTCTAGCCAGTTGAGGTGCGACTTGAACAGGCCCCAGATGAACAGACTGGTAATCAGCCAGCCAAACGTCATGACGGGAATGAGCAGCAGCGTGACCGACTTCCAATGCTTTTCCATGTAGGCCTTTGGTAATTCGACTCCGACGGCGAAACATTGCACGACTAGAACGATGCGCGAAAACTCGAGCGTGATCAGGTCAACATTGCCCCAAGATGCGGGGTCTATCAGATTGGCGGCATGCGGGCCAAAGATGATGCCACAGAGGGTAGCAACGGTGGCTTCGCCAATGTACAGGCGCTCCTTGATCACCGAGGAGCAGAGCATGAACAAGCTGGTGAAGCCGCCCAGGATGATGTACACCAAGTGCGGCTTCGTGATGGAGAGATGGTCCCACGCCATTGTACGGCTCTCTCGCGCTCTCTATCTCTGGCGTTTGCGATGCGAAGGGGAAGAAGGACCCGTGTTGGCGTATGTGGGAAGGAAGGAGCGACGGGGCCTGGCTGGCCGAACGGTCTGCCGGTTGAGGGGGGAGAAGATGGAGCCTGAGCTGGATGCATGTATGTGAAAACCCGCGCCCAGGTCGCCACTCCTAAACAAGCCGTGTGTGGCGGGTGACGATGTTTCGAAGCGATTTCTGGCGGGGATGTGGGGAAGGCGCGATGGGCCTCGTGGAGTGGAGCCTCTACAGCGTCGCGCGGTCAGTCATGGAATGGTTCGAGGGAAGATCAAGCAGTCCCAAGGCGACGCTTCGCAGGAAGGATGGAGCTTACAGCAGCAGGTTCAGCTAAGCGCAGGCTTTTTCAAAAGCTTGGGACCGAAGCAGCTCGACAAAGCTCGTGGTTGGCTCCACTTGTCAACCCGCACCCAAGACTAGACTACCACGGTGGATGTATGTCGCTCGACGCTGTGATTCCCAAGCTCAATGGCACTCCAATTGCGCGTCACTGGCTTTCTTGCGCAGTCTCAGCAAAAAGTTGGCAGGAAGTATGAGAAGCGGACGATTTGCGCCGAGCCTCCAACGCCGAAAACCGCTTGACTCGGGTCGCTTGGCTCCTCGAACCTTGGATGACGTTTGCTTGGCTACATGGTTTCCTGCCCTCATTTTCCCGCGATAAGCCTTTGCTAACTAAAATATAGTCCTCTCTAAACGCATACATACAGACACAAAGTAACCGCAAACCCTTCCGGCTTTGCTGGCACGGGAGAGAGCCCGAGTCAACACACCATCTCTCCTATCTCAAAAGAACTGGCGGAGCTAGACTTCCTTCCGATTGGAGAAGGCTGCGCGCCACAACTGCTGTGCGCAAGCCACGTGCAAGGCTCTATACGCCAGGACTGTCAAATGAGTCGCTTGTCTTCCTTTCTTCCCGATCCCAAGACTGTGTGGGCGAATCCGTGTTACTGGGGCTAGCTCGGACGAGTTCAAAGAAACTGCTGCCATATGGCAAAAGAAACTGCATCTTTATCATCACATGGGCCTTGCATTGTCGCTCTGCGGGATGCGTCAACCAGCGCATCCTCAGTCAGCGGGTATAGTAAGCTGTACTTTGCTTCTAGGAAATCCTACTGGCTATTGCTATGACTTCCGATGGTGGAGCATCAACGTGGGGGCACCCGTAACATATTATGGAGAGCCAGACGTTCTATAGCGGTAAGGCTGACGTGACATGATCACCAGGAAAACT